CTGCAGCCCACGCCGTCGCCGGCGACTCACGGCAGCCCAGCTCCAGGTTGAGCTGTTGTTCAGCATCTTAGCTGTAGAGGGCAGTGTCACTGGGCCTCATATGTGGGATCCGAACCGGGGCCCTCTGGCGTCCCAAGCCAGTTCTTAACCATTGCGCCACTTGGCCGGCCCGTCAAGGTTCTTCTTGAGTCTTTTGTTTTTTTAAGAATAACCAACTTAAAATAATCAATATCCCAATAAAGACATATTTGGGGGTGGGACGCTCCGCTCTCCTCACTGCCATGTGTTGAAATTAAATTTTTATTTATCAAAGTTAAATTTCAAAACTGCATCAGGAACTACAACTTCATCGAGGCCAGATGGTAAAGCACTGTTTCAGCTGCTCCTGGAATGAACAGGGCTTGGCGCTTGTTCTTCAGGAACAACAAAAGGATTAAATAACATTAACTGATCATATTTGTAACAAAACCCCTCAAATGCTCAGCCATCAGTTTTTCCTGTTTGGCTCACCTTCACCTAGACCATCCTGCCCTCTGCGTAGACACAGTGATTCCACTATATTTTGCTGTGTCTCTCCCAGCCCCTTCCCATCCTCTGCAGCTACTCCACTCCAAGGACCTTTTATGCCCTTACTCCGGGTCCTAAAGCACAGGGCTGAGTGTATTGAATTGAACCATGTGAAATGGCCGATATTTAACTATTCTTGATGGCAATTTCATGGGGCTCAACCTAATGGCATTTATGAAACAAAAAATTTTTTTTTTGGTTATAGTTGTATTTAAAATTTCCTACTTAGAACTGGCATCTAAGCATGAATTTGACTTAATTTTTAAAGGAAGACAGAATTGCTGGTCATAAGCAAATAGTTCAGTTACAAAAAAAAATAAATAAATGCTGCAGGTACTATCCCTTTAACATCATGTTTCATATGTAAGGAAAAGGAGAGATTATGACATTTAAAAAAAACATATTGGGATAACATTGGTTAATAACATTATGTAAATTCCAGGTGTACAACTTTATAATATGACATCTGAATACTCTATTGTGGGCTCACCACCCAAAGTTTATGTTTTAAAAGATTGAAGCTTATTTCTATGAGACTTCCTGGGGAAGAAATGCAAATAACCATTAGACTTCCAGGATTGCAACTTTTCCCTCAGCTTCCCCTCCCGTATCTGCCCCAGAACAGCCTTCCAAACCTCAGATGGGAGGATAACTTATTTATATAATGTGATTGTGTGTGTGGCCATTTTCCTGAAAAGCCCATTTTCTATGACCCAGAATTGCTGTGAATTCCTTGTAATGCACTTTGCGATATACTCTGGAAACAGAAGAGGGCGCTCGCACGTAAGCTGCTGCTAATCAGCGTTCAAAACAGCATTTGAATTTTGTGGTGCTTGTATTATGATTAATAAAAGATCTTGGGAGCATTTTTGTAAAGCATTTCAAAGCATTGTGCGTCCAGTGGAGTATAATTAAAATTAATGCAGTAGACAAACATTTTAAAGTATTCTTAATGCCTTGTCTAAAAGTGCTGCTGAATACAATTTTACATATCCCAAAGATTTAAATACCATGCTTATCTCTAAACATTTCTAAGCACTAGAGGCAGAAAAATAGTGGCTTTCTTCTCAACAGATTTCAAACATATGTTTTCTAATGAGTTAATAAAGTCTAAATTTGCTTACTTTAAAAGATTTATAAAATATTATAATGAATTTATCCTGTTTGACTACTGAACGTTGCATGTATCAAGGTCGGTGTGGTCTCTAAAAAGCTCCAGCCCAGGATTGTACTTTCAGATTCTTAGGTAAAAACAAGCAAATATATGCTTTTAGGAGACTATTCCATTCCACCTTTAACTCAGGGATGAACCTTTACCCTGTTTAGTCCTCAGAAATCAGAAATGGGCATTGTCTTTTCAAGATGGTCTCTGTCTTTCTCTCAGAAATCTTTCTAGGTAGATGTTGTCATTCTTTTATAAAGCCTGTTAGAACATATTTCCAAAAATCTTACAGCATGAGTAAGTCTGTGAATGTGAGCTGTCTCCCACACTCTGAAGTACAAAAGGCTTAAGACATTGACTGCCTTATGTGGTCACTTTGAATCACTTCAGGATGCTGTGTGACCATTGTCCAATTAATTCCCTTGCTGATGCTAATGTTTATTGTATGCCTACTATGCGCCTGCATTTTTTCTATGCACTGAGGTTAAGTTATCACCAAACAGTAAATTCCTGTTCTTGTAGAGGATATATAATAGTGGAGGAAGTCAGACAGTAAACAGAACTCAATAGTGATCATTGCAATGCTGGGGGGCGGGGGGGAACGGGGGGAAGCAACAGAGTGGCAGAAGAATGCTGGTTTAAATAAGTTGATCAGGGAAGTCCTCTCTGATGAGATGACATTCTAGCTGAGACCTGAAAGGAGTGAGAAAGCAAGTCATTAAGATCTCCCAGAGAAGAGTGTGTCCAGCAGAGGGAACTCCTAGTGCAAAGATGCTGAAGTCTGTGCTTAGCCTAGCAGAGGAACACCACGGAGGGCAGATGGCTGCTGGGTGGCAGGAGCAGGTTGAACAAGGAGATGGCTGGGGAGACATCAGAGAGGTTGTGCGTAGGTGAGGGAAGCAGAGCACATAGTGCTCTGTAGGCTAGGGTAAGAACTTGGGAGTTTATTCTGAGTGAGATGGGAGTCACTGGAAGTTTTTGTGTGGAGGAGTGACATGAACTGAATTACATGTTAAGATGATCCTATGAACATAGAAAGGGGTCAATGACAGAAGCAGAGAAAGCAGATAGGAGGCTATTGCAATCACCCAGCTGAAAGGTGATGGTAGCTAGGAGTGGTGATGGGAGATGAAAAGTGGTTGGACTCAGAACCTGTTTGAAATACAGAGCTAATAGAGGGTGCTGATGGATTGGGTTGGATTTCCAGTGTG